ATCGCGCTGCGCATCTGCTGCCATTCGAGGAAGGCACTTCAATGTTACCACTACAAACAGAGGAACGAAACCAAAGGTTTTGTATGTTATCAAATGACCGTGGAAGTAAATTTTTCATTGTGAAAATGCTGCTAGAGGTTTGTTACTCCTTCTGAGATTCAACCACAATAGAAGAAACATTTGCCGTTCACACGATAGCCGGGTCTAGGTAACGGGAACAGGCCGGAATTTATCCGGCCAAGGACTTTCAACTCTACAACTATGACAAATATGTTTGTTGTTACTGTAACGCCACATAAGTCAGCTTTAAGGCTATTATTTCCGCCCTAGTGCCTTAATGTATGCTACAAAAACTATGTATACATTGAAGTTGATAAAAACTAGAACAATAAAATCCGGTGCAAAGACATAGACATTACTATATTTTTACCTACACGTTTGAGTGGAAAAAAAGATGTATAAATTAGTATATGCGTCGCCGGTATATGCAATTTAACGCCCGCGACCACGATCATCTCGAATTATTTTGCGTAATACTAATTTGGTTGCGTATAAAATGTGTAAACGATTGTACAATATTTGGCTTTAAGTTGGCAATAGCTGGCGTTTTGTATAGCGCGCACAACAACATGCTTTGAGTAGAGACAACGACAGACTAAGACTCGATTGGTCAAAGACAGAGGTGCGCAAACGAAGATTGTCCCGTTAAACGCCTACAAATAAAGAAACAGCTGAGTATATGCCCATATGTATGCATAAAGTAATACGAAATGACATAGCTGGGGACACAAAATATTTATCACGCACGCACACAAGTGCAACGCAAGCATAGTGTCTTGGGCTAGTCTACGTTAAGGCGCCGAGACTTGGCAAACTTGTGTCTTTGTGTGTTTGTATGCATTGTCTAAAGATGTGGCGGTGTGAGTGCATGCACTGTGTGAAGAAAGTTTTGTGCTGAGTGCACACAACGGATGGCAATTGAAAATTGGCGCATTCCACAGTTTTTAAGTGGTTAAGTGCAGCACTTGGGCCAGGCGAGCCTATAGTTTTGTTTACTTATTTATATACATACATACACATATGTTTGTATGTATGTGCATACAACAGTTGTAGGCGGGTCACGTTAATGAAAATAACATTCGGTCATTAACACACTCAACGCAGACGGCCCGAAGACTGCTGACACGGCCGTTCGCAGACGCGTGTTTAATGTTATAAAACGTGACTAAGAAGAGAAGAAGAGAATGATGCACAAATTCGCAGGCATACGTAATGCGCCCTAATCTATTTAGAAAGCATATTTATGAATTTCAATGTTTGGTGGCATTCAATATTTGCTGGGAGCTTGTCAGAAACCAATTTTTTTTTTCCACAAAGTAGTTTTGACCAGTTGTGGAAATCGAATAATGTGCCTATAAACTACTTTCAACGAGTATTTACTTAAGTTCTTGGTATGAACTTAGACACCCCCAGAAGAACTACAATATTCGAATCCTCACAGACTGAAGAAACTCGGAATTATATTCGTGCCAACGGTCAATTCGACATCGATTCTTGAACTTATTTGAGGAAAGCTTGCTGCCGCTACAACAATAACAATAGGAGAAATATTTCGTCTTCTGGTTTAGTAAATAAATAAACGTGTTTACAGGATGACGTCGTTGGCGCATTTGTGTCTGTAACGGTTGTTTGTAGTAGCCAACCCTTCCACGTGATTCAGCAACATGTTTTAGARCACATGTAAACAAAAGCATTGTCATCAAATGTGCACTACATAAACACTTACCATTGCGCCGGGCGTTGGTGAGAAATCGCGTTGTCTGTCTACTGTGAAGACAGCCGGACTGCTRTGGGTCGGTGCCGACAAATGTGGTTTTACAGATCGATCGAATTGCGGTATTTTCGGTTTGGGTATATCATCTTCGTTGTCGATTGACGTTCGCGGAAAACGCGCGATAGCCATGGCTAACTGCTGGTCACGTTGTTGTTTTTCACGTTCCAATTGCGCGTCGAGCCTTTGGCGTTCTTGTATTTTATGCTCAATCTGTCGCGTGGTCTTTTCGAGATTTTCCTTTTCGTTGGGCGTCAACCCAGCTTCTTCTTCCTTTTTGATGCTTTTATATTTTTCAATTTCGTCTAAGAGACGATCATTTTCAGTTTTCTGCAATAAAACAAAAACTGTTTAGATTAAGYGAAGAAACATTTGAGTTTCATATTATAACCCACATAGTCTGCAGCTGCACTCTCCAGTTGCATAATGTAGTATAATAGTTCAGTTTCCGTAGCCGTCATAGGTTTTTTATCGGGACTTTGCTTGTTTTTTTCGAATATGGTGTCCAATTTCTCTGAAGCTTTCTTCAATTGTTCATCGTTAGCTTGTGCTTTCTCTAAGAGTTCTTCCTGTTCCTTAGCCAATTCTACAATTGGTTTTTGTTTTTGCTCGTATGTTTTCATAGCAACCATTTTACTTGAACGATCTACACTGGGTGGAGGCTGTGACATAGTGAATGTAAGTGGTCGTGACATGCTACTTCCTGGTCTGGGCGTGTAGCTATGACCACTTATTTCTTCCTTCATTGTAATATCATTTATTGAGGGATATTCAATCTCATCGATTAGATTCAAATCATTGTTGTTCTGTTGAGGGGCCTGTACACTGGGGTTTGTACAAAGAGTTGGGTACATCATGATAAAGAATTCATAACCACCTTGTAGTATTTTGATGGAGGATTTATAAATTACATCAGGATCCCACTGTAATGTTATTATGTAGTGCATTATTCTTTAAGGGTATGTATTTACCAAAACTTACATTCTGTAGTATTTCGAGAAGTTTACCAATTGGCGAAGATGGTGCAGGATTAGAATCTTTGGTGTTCCAATCCATTAAGACGACCTGTTCTTTGATTGCACGGGCAGACCACAGAACTTTGGAACTGCCATCTAATTTGTCCTGCAATTTTCCAGCAGACATGCTATAAGTAAAAGTAATACGGTTTACACGAATACACACACGAATAAAATATTTCATATATAAATCATTTACCCAGCCGAAACAATTTCCTCAGGCACGTTCATTGTATAGTGGTATGTGAGATGAGACGTCTCATAATCCTTACTAGGTCTGCAATCCATTATCAGCACATTATTCTGCTTCATACGTTCAAATAACTCTTCACATTTTATAACATTTAAAGATTGTAATGAATAATAACCACTGTATGAATTCGCAGTTGCTAAGGAGACTGGATCACCTTTCACAAGATCGAATTTCTCTGAAGCACTGAGCTCGTTGTAGTCGCGAGCACGTTCATTTTGCTTAAATGAAGCTGTGACTATTGCTGGTGACTTCAGCGTACTATTGGCAAGCTGTTTTGCCTCATAACGTCGTGTGAGTGAAGTGCTCAATTCCTCCAGTTTATTCATGGTCAGTTTATTGTTCGAATTGCCGCCTAAGGCTATTCGGACAGTCTGTTTATGTTCTGCATAGTCAGGTTTTCGGTGTATGCAATGTAGTAAATTGAAATACTTCATGTATAATACGTAAGCCAATTCTTCGTCGCCCTCCCTGTAATATTTGTCTGCTTCCCGTATTAATTTTCGGGCAGATTCTACCAGTCTGAAATGAAGTTATTTAATAATTTTATACTTTGGGCATATAGCCAATTATATACTGTACGCCATCCGCATATATATATTATAAAGCACTTACATTTGAGTTTTCTTCGTGCGAGCATCTGGTATCTCGGAATGTTTTTCCAAATCATTTAAGGTTTTGCCTAAATGCAAATCTTTTACTTGCGCCATTTTCGGCATTACTGCGAACAATGAATACTATTCAATTATATTCCAGTTGGGCGTAATTGTAATTTATGCTGATCGGTGCAAGTTTTAAAGACTCTCACCCGTTTTCTTCGCCAGCAAATAAACACAATTAGAAGTCTGTAAAACACTTTTTTTTTTTTTCAATTATATTTATTCACCTTTTCAGCATATCTTGCTATTATTAGAAATTTCTTTATTATTCTACAATAGGAAAGGTTTAATTATGCTCAAAACAAATAGAGAACCAATTTATCTAAAATGCGTAAAAAAGTCCATTTTGAGTCAGCGAACAAGTGACAGTTCTATGTTTGTCGATAACCACGCACTCAGCTGATTGCAGCGATGGGTGCTGGCTGTAATCGATTACTGATGAGTTTCAAGAAAAAAGTTACAGTTTTTTATGTAAAATATTCATACCGTAAGCTGTATAAACTTATAAAAACTTTTTAAATAAAAAAAAAAAAAATGTTTGACTTGTTCCGCATTTTATTTAAAAAATAACTTCTTGTGAAATATTCAAATCGATTTATTTTTGCTATCAATACCAACGCTCATTGACAACTGGATATTTGCGCTAATTATTTCCTCTTCCGTTGACACCTGCAAATGAAAATTTCTTCTTTCCGGGGAGTAATAAATTTTAAATTACAATATGTAACTTCTATAATAGTTTGTGAAGATTAAATGGTGTGTGCTGTGCTTTCTTACATAAATGGAATGCGAATAGTAGTATGTTTTTATCTTATGTGCAGTAAGCAAACAATTCAACTATTACCTCAGCAGCCAACGGTTGACGTCACTCTAAGGCTATAACTTATTATCTGCAGCTGARTGCATCAAGAAGTACAGAAACAGGTAAATCAATTTAATCCCACAGAATTCAATATCCAAATAAGCGGAAATCAAATACGTGCAGAAAAAATTATGAGCTTCTCAGGATAAGCATTTGTTCACAGGAATTGTGTGCAGCACTTGACCTTCATAACATGTACTTCTTTCAGGTAGTTGTGTTTTACTTATAAGTATGTATACCAGGTGATCATTCTTATACTTTTTCAATTTCGAGATTTTATGAAAGTTTCAAGTTTATAAAATTTCGTGTGGTTTTCTTACAAGTTTAAAATTTGCATTCGTATTTGAGGCGCATATGTATTGTATATAAGAAATCATAAAAATGTGTCGGCATTGAAATGCTTTATTTGGTTTGCGATATACATATGTATGTATATTTTTCAAAATATAAACCCACATGAATTAACATTTAGCACGAACAGACATTTTAATTGTTTTTAGTGAGTATTCTGGACCATGAAAAGTTTCCCAGTACATGCCTTCCTTGAACTTATCCGTTTCGCCGTTCAAATATTTACCAAAAATATTGCTTCGAAGTGAAAAAAAATTAAGTTAAAAAATTTTAAATTAAACAATAATTTAAAAAATATAATATATTATCGTTGTACTTACGCTTTCATGCAATTCTTAAACCAGCCCGCGCTGTTGTACTCCTCACTACAGCTACCTTGCGCTTTGGCGTCGTTATCGCGATCAATCGCACTAAACTGCTGACCTTCATGATACATAAATGAATCACCGGCTGTGCCGTGATAAACCCCCAATATGCCCATTTTGTAGTCGGCATGCTCATTGAACACACTGAAGTCACTATAATGTGCAAACTTTTGTACACCCTGAAAATCTTCCAAATCAATGCGTATTTCGAAGAAACCACTATAGGTTAGCTCGTGCAAATGTTGTAAACCCAAGAAAAATTCGGTTTTTTCACCTACACTACCGAAACCCTGCTTATACGCATCCCAAGTGCGATTGTGAAAGGCGACTGAGCCATCTAAACGCTGCAGAACAACAATCCAACGTTCAGCACCGCAAAGCACTTTGAATGGTAACACTTTGTCATCGTCCAACTGAATTTCACTAACACCGACATTATGGCAAATCTGTGCCAAACGCTCTGCACATTTGTGGTTGCTGCTGCTGCCAAGCGAGGAAGTTGCGAGTACTGAGTGTAAGTTTCGTGCGTGGTGGACTCGCTGGTGGTGCGACTCGACGTCCTCATGACTGCAGTGTGACAGTGGTAATCAAAAATTAAAGTATATTTAACATATTGATAMGCACCTTTCCGTTACATGTTGYTTGCGATGTGCATGTGGGTGATGTGCACAAGCTGCTGGCGGCTCAATTTCTGGATGTGYTGCAAGCGATTCCACTTTGCCATTCAAAGTTTTTAATCTTGAATTAGAATAGAYAATTAGTAAAAAAGTACTTAAATGTATGCGTTCCTAACTTTGACAAGATTTCGTCCAATTTGTCTTCTAAGCAATCGCCATCACAGCCAGGTGCTCCMTGCACAATCTGTTGACGGCTGATAAATGCAAATAACACCAGGAATATTGCTAGCGATTTTAGTTGATAGCTTAACATGTTTGCACAGTTCGAAGCTCGATTTACCATTAAGACTCGAAGCATTTATTTTCAAAGTGGACACCCAAATCTAAAAACATACATACACATACATATCTATATACAATACAATTATGTCATACGAAATAGCACAATCAATTGTTTTTGGCAAATAAGTAAATAATCAGTGTTTGGGAGCAAGGTTTATCAATATTTCCTCTCACGGCCGGCAGATTATTTTAAATATATAATATGTTAACCCTCTAACGTGCAAAAGTTCCTAATTCTACTTCAAATTTGGATTAGTACTCAGATAATAAAGCCAAAATGCTAAACAAATGTCTCTAAAAGTGGTATTTTTTATAGAAAGAGTAAAATAAATTATTTGCTGAAGTGTGTTATTGTATTTTGTTTGATAAACTTAAATACAATATCTAAAATATCATCACAAAATATTGGTGAATTTACTTAAAAATATTTTCGTACATATCGTCACCTAAAATGCAAAATAACCTAACAGCATTTTCGGAAATTTACAGGGGAAAGAATGAAACACGGAATAAAATGGAATAATGAGTGAAACAAAATTTAAAGATTGGTTAAAACTGGGTTATATCTGAGAGCATAACTTTAAAATGTTATCCATATGTATTTATATGTTCGTAAATTTAATTAGTGGATAGTAAACAATGATATTCCTTGCCTCCAAACATCCTCTTATAAAATATCCCAGTCAAAATACATGTACATATATAAATAAAAATAATTCTAGTGCTGGTCAGTGAGAAAGTCTGGCAAGCTCTCCATGTTATGCAATATCGTGAGCACGCCCAATTCATGTACTGTTATTTACAATTTCCATAAGCTATGTAACATATGTGTATGGAGTTACATTAGAACGCTAAGGACAGAGATTTATTAGATAATATTGGTAAATGAAGAAAAAGACGTAGAATCATTCATGGAAGGGGGTCTCAATTAAAGCAAATCAATTTAGAACTTAAGAGAAACGACTGTGTGGTCTACCGCCTCTCTGTCCCTATGAGATCGTTTAATGGTCAATATACCGRTTTGTAAATGTTGCTAGATTCCAGKTGGCTTACTGACATATGATTTTTGGACCTGCGTCTACAGCAAAACAAAATAGTTAACTCGACCAAACGCAATAACTTAAGTGACCACGACTGTGAGGCACTGCTTTTTCTTCGTCCCTTATTCTTCGATTCGTCCAAAAAAGGCATGGCGCTAAAGCACTCTTTACACAAACATGCATATGGATAAGCAAAATATAATTTTTAATTTACAAGCTCTTGGTTAGCATACCGCACCATTTGTGTAACTTGTGTGTAGCTTTTTTTCGCTTTTGCCTCCTATGACTAAAGATAGGCCTCAACAGTTTGAGCTGGAATAAAAACAAAATAGCAGAGAAAAATGAAGCGTAAAAAATAGGAGCTTATAATTTTTAATGAAATTTGCTTTGAATTTTTTGTTGTAATTTGTTTATGAACAGCTTATTGGACTCAGCTGCGATATATTAACGAAACCATGGATGTGAGTGTTGTCGGGTATAACAGTGTGGTAAAATACTCTACAAATGTGATCAAGATTTTACAAATATTGGGTAGTCGAAAAAGTATTTTCATACATACAAAAAGTATTTTTCGACTACCATAGATAGAAGCCAAAAATTAATATTTTTGCTTCAGGAAAATTGTGCACGGGCACCCAGATATTGGCGTATCTATCAAGCGAGCCGGCAAAGATTGTTTTTGCTTAACTCGCCACACATCGAGCTTCTTTTCGTATTGTTAAGCTCCGAGGGAATCGAAATAGTGCTCGCACGACGGTCGGATTCGACTATTTCATGGATATTGTCAGCAAATTAGCATTCTAATTGGGCACGAGATTTGTTTTAACAGCATCAGCATCATAAACATATAAACATTGTTGGCATGTTCAGGTTCCAAAAATAGAAGAATAATGTAATTTTTTATACTAGAACTTATATTTACGGTTTTTGGTAAACTTCTTGCTCTGGGTCTCCCAGCCCTATATTTTTCTATTGAAACAAACCTGTATACATTATGTATCATTCGGACGTTGTTTTTTTTTTTTAATATTCTTTTGAAATGTATGACGAACAATTTACTCTGGTGTTATATAATTATTATATTTTTTGTACCCACTGTGCCTTCATTGTAACTTTAGCCTATCAAAAATTTTTTTGAGTACAATATGCGCCTTCTTTGTACATTTTGTTGTTGTAGTATTGCTGTAAATTGGTAGGAATTTGTGCACTTTTCAAGCTCTTTTGGTAAGCTACATAAATTCAGCTGGCGAAATGAGTGTTTTTGCCGCAAGAATCCGCTTGCTCCAAGTCTGAATTATCCGACTATACAGAAAGCAGCACCAAAAAAAATTGAAACATAATTTTTTACCAAAGTTACACACATACACGAACTTCAACASCAAAACGAAATCATTATACAAAGGCTTGCGAGCTGCTTTCTAGCGAAAAATGTCCTTTGATTTGTGCGACACCGCTGTTGTTGTCTAGCCACCAGCCACCAGCCACCAGCATTGTCCGTGCCGTTGTGTGCAGAAATAGTTTCAGCATAAAAACGTCTACATTATTGGAATTCCTCGCAACTTTCGCAAATGCCCATTTGCTTACAAACCCGTACACAAACATACATGCGTTGAAGTACATGTATGAGTTCATGTTTTATATGTGTGTGCGTGTGCTTGCAAGCAGCAATTTGCATGCATACTTTTCTTCTGCTGTGTTATCATGTTTTTGTTTGCGTTTGTGTGTGTGTGTGTGTGTGTGTTTGAGTATTCGCAAGAATTAAAAGGATATTAGCGTTGAACAATTGAACAATAGGCGTAACATTACAATTAGCGCAATTCCAATGTGATTTATTGGCGTTAAATATTTGTGCGACAACAAACAGCACACAACCACACACCCATAAACATTAACCTCTGCATATATACAAACATATGCATTTCTTTAACTCCTCCCACCCGCTCGGAGCAAACAATTGCAGTGCAGGCGACATATTTATGCTTGCGCTTGTCTGCAAGTCGGGCGTTTGCAACAAATATTTTACTCGCAGAAATGTATAAACTATAAATTTTGCATTGAGCCGAAATTGCTGGTCGGTGTGGTGGCCGTTTGTTGAATTCCTCTAGGTGCCATCGCATGCACATTTCATCACACACACACACACACATASACGGATCTTCAGTGCTTGTATTTATTGCAAGTGTGTGTTGGAGACAGGTGTACAGGCAAAAGGACTAGCTTGTTGAAATGCAAGCATATTTTGGGGTAATTTATCGCTTCTACACTAACAACTATTCAATACATGCATACATGTGCACTTGCCGGCTGTCTGTCTGTGGTGTTTGCAAATAATATGCAAATACGTTTTTGGCTAATAAGAAAATTTAATTACGCCACTCTTTGTGGTGTGTGGAAAATTTATTGCAGGTGCATTGTATTGAAAGGTGTCCATGTAGTGTAGGCGAAAGGAGGTATCAAGAAAGGATGACATACCTGAATTCGTGAAAATATCTCGTCAAATACAAAATGTTTCCATTCAACTACATAATTCCGATCGTTCAGTTTGTATGGCAGCTATATATATGTTATAGTGGGCCAATGTCGACCGCTTCGACAAATTAGCAGCTTCTTGGGGAGAAAGAGATGTGTGCGATATTTCGGAACGACATCTAAGAAACTGAGAGACTAACTAGTTCGTGTATATGCAACTGACTGACAGCAGCATGGACGGCCGTGGCTCAATCAAATCAGTTCATCATGGTGATCATTTATATATGTATATAGTCCGACGTTTCCTTCTGCGGGTTGCATACCCCGTATAAAGTTTAATAATAAACAACAAAAGAGACACTTTCCTTAATTCGATTTTGTAAATCAATATTTATTTTCGCTAAATTTTCCTTCCGAAAATTCCAGGCGCATGCCTTTAAATCCTTGTTACGTTTGCTGTGATCGGCATCAAAAGTGGGGTCTTTCACAGACTGGATAGGGAAGCGAAGTGGAACCACCATCAACATCAACAACCATATTAGCGTTAAAATCCAAAGCAGAATCACTCTTGCCAACAGATGTTACTTCGGATTCAGTAGACAATTGATCAAACTCTAAAAGTCTCTCATCATTGTTGTCCTGCGACGGCATGAACGGTGACAAGATCAGGTGAGTCAGCCTTAAGAGTGTTCGAGAAAAGGTTCTGCTGAAGATTTATGCTCTTTTCCGCATTGGTAACGGTGAGTACCGCAGTCGATGGAAAGAAGAGCTGTACGAGATATACGGAGATATTGACATAGTTCAGCGAACCAGAAGACAGGCTGCGCTGGCTAGGTCATTATGTTTCGATGGAAAAGAACATTGAAGGTTACCGATTCAGTACCTGCCGGTGAAAGCACCGTTAGAGAGATCAGGTGGAGAAGTACCTGGCTGAAGTTGGCATMTCGAATTGGCGCCAAATATGGAGAGAAGAAACGACTGGTGCACTCTTGCTAACTCGACTATAACCACGCAAACAGTGTCTACGCCAGTAAAAAAAAAAAGAAGAAGAAATTTCCCTTCACATTCTGCAACTTGTGATTATTTAAAAGCTGTCCGTTTTCCTCGATTTCGCATTTTAATGGTCGTTGTTGATGTTTTGTTTTTTTCTTTGCAAATTTATAAAATTATTGAATGGGGCTTAGTAATACGAAATATCCACCAACAATATTTTTATCATCTTTGCGGTTTCAGCTCTCGTTTAATTTCATTTGTGGTCATCCAAAACAATTTTGTGAATTTTTTCTTTAATCGTCAATTGGGTTCATTAGCTTCGGTGCTTTGTATTCAATTTAGAAAAAAATTAATAACGGAGGGTTGACTTGCCTGGCGTAGATTCAAGCTAAAACTCATAAAAGCACTTTTTTATCTAACAATATTATTTCATTGGCACACCAAACTTCTTTTTATTATTTTTATTTGAATACGCCTATTTAATAG